GGCCGGCTCCGGGGCTTCAGGTGGGGGCCGTGCTCCCATTGCTGTGCACTTCAGGGGTCTCCCCGTTTCCTGGTTCAAGTGAGCAGCGACTAAGCTGAATCTGATCCTGGAAAGCCTCACAGACGTGTAGGGAATTGGACGAGGAGCATTGTGGGGTGGAAAATTGTCCAGTGCTTTATTTTTCCATGGGAAATTGTCCATTTCTAAAAATTCATTGTTTCCTAAAATTTGTTAGTAACAATGAAGGGATGCCAATGCCCTATTAGGTAAGCTCAGCAGTGTCAAAGTTGTCATTCATGTTTTTCAGGTGATTATCCCTAGGAAGCGAGAGAGTGAGTGCGTATATGTTGTACTGATATGTAAGCAGGAGGGTAAATACACTCACATAATCCTTCAATCCAAAAATCAAGTTATGAATTCACGTAATTGGCTGTGCAGGCCAGATCTAAACCAAACCATGGCATCTCATGCACAGTTTTTGGGTGTGCTAAAATTAGTGTGTTGACAGTTTTCAGTGCCTTCGTTGTTTTTTTTCTTAAATTTAAGCAACATAAGGGAAGTACATGCTATTGTGTATTGTCTTTACATTTTTGCAAGTGTGCTAATAAAATAATTTCTTTCCACATCAAAGCTTTGCTTTGAATTTGTTTAAAAGTAACACTTAAATCGCATTAAGTGTGCTGTATTTAATTTTTTTGAATCAAATATTTCAGTTGAAATACTTGTGGCTGTCAAGACAAAGAATTAACATGGGTTTTTTTTTTTAGTTTTGTTTACTAAATATACGTCAAATAAATATGCTGAATGAGATCACGCTCTATTTAGGGCATTGGGAAAATTTCCAGAATATTTTCCAATTCAAAATGTTGTGGAAAACCCACATCTCTGGTAAGGAAGTATTTTTTTTGAGGCTGCAAGGCCAGGCTGGAGACTTGCTTCAGTTTGCTTGGCATGTGGATCCCTGACAGCTCCTGGCCATGCCTGAATGGTATTCGCTTCTGACATCCTCTCAGCTCATTGTTCTGCGGCTGCAAACTCTGTATGGTTGGGTTTTTTTTCATTGTCCCTGCACCTTGCTGTCAACCCATGTGCCGCTCTGTAATGCTTAGTGTGTTCTGAGTTCTCTGAAGGATGATCTTTGCCTTGCATCTAAAGCAAGGCAAATGTTGTCTCTGTTTTGCCCAGTGAAGCATGGAGACGCTCACCAGGTTGAGCAGGTTGTTCAGTGCCAGGCAGCTAGTCAGAAATCAAGACAAGCTTTGGAGGGGAGAGTTCCTGGCCCCTTGGCTCTATCCTCTATCCATCAGCATCACTAACTGTCACTCTTAAGGCTTGTTGTTCTGTCCCTACAAGCAGGAAGGTCTCAGTGTTGGCAAGTAGCTGCATATTGCCCCAGCTTGCTGATGCCCCTCTTTGTTTCTTGCAGCCCTTCATTGATAGCAATCACGGGATTCACAAGTACTTCCTGCCCAGGGAATATTCTGTTACCATTCCTGTGGTTGCAGGGCTCCTGCTGCTGCTGTTCATAGGTGAGTAACATTTCTCTTCTGTTTGGTGATCAGAAGTCTGTTATAGAAGCTGGTTGGTCACTGTTGGCTCAGCTACTTGGAAGTGATAGCGATTGGCACATGACCTCTCTCACAGCACTGCCTGCTCCAGCTGTGAGCTCCTGCACAGTGGAGCTGCCCTGGTCTCATCCTGTGAAGTGGTTCTGTTCCCCGTAGAAATGGTGTTTAGAAAGCTGTAGTACTTGCAGGGTTTTTGGCCATTTTCTTCACATGTGTTTTTTCTCTTTCTCTCAGGGACTTTCATAGTGATTGTGATGTGGAAGAACAGGAAACCTGCCAAGAAATTGAACTGAAGACAGCGGGCCAGGGAATGGGTGCAGGTTCCTACCTGCAGTGTCTTGATGGGGCCAATACTTTGACCTGCAGTAACAGGTGGCCATTTCCTCCCGCAACCAAAGACTCCTTTGTGTTATAGCCTGGATACTGGGCCTCACCATGCTCTTAGCACTTCCTACCCTGCAGAGCACATCCAGCCACTTGATCAAACAGAAGAGAAACTGACTGGATATCATACACATCCAGACAGGGACCAGAGCCTCAGCTTTAGTGAAACTGCCTCAGCTAGGGCTGACCAGGACAGACTGACAGCTCAGGGCTCTGCAGTTGGGGAGCTTTGTGCAGCCTCCACTTGCCCTGTGTTAAGGGGAGAAGGCAACAGTAGTGAGCAGAGCAAATAGCTGGCTGCCTGGCTCCATTGGATCTTTGCCTCTGGCAACACCTCTTGCTCTGTTGCTCTATTTTTTCTCCTTCAAGTGTTTTAGAGTTTACAGATTGGATCCATTACGTGAAAAACCAAGAGATTGTGGACCAAGGTTGGTGGCTAGGGGCGGATCCCTTCTTACTTGCCTGTAGGGGGTGCAACACACCTTGTTTTGTGCTAATGGTAGTCATAGCACTGGGAGAGTTGCACGGAGCTCACCCAGGCTCTCTGGCTGTATCTTAGGGCGCAGGTAGCACTTCCATGATCCCTCACATGTTGGCAAGAAGCCACAGCTCCTCCAGCCCCCTTATTGGTCAGAAGGCAGGGGAGGTAGTGGAAAGCTGAGGCCCCATCCTGGCATGTAAAAGGATTACCCTTGTCCTCAGTGCTGTACTCTTAAGCCTGGTGTCTGCATTGGAGAGGGGTGGGGAAGCAAATCATGGGCGCTCCTGGACTGGGAACCAGAAGGAAGGAGCTTGAATAATGGGCTGACGGACATGGTATGAACTGCAACAAGATGGTGCAGGCTCTGTTGTGTGCCAGCCAGCTATGTGTGTGCCTGGTAGGTGGTGGGGAAAAAAGGGTGCCTCTGCCTGCTTCTTCTGTGCTAGGCATTTCTCAGGCAACAGGGCTTTTGCTCCTTAGCACCCGGATGCCTGTTTCCAGCAGCTCCAGTAGAATGGGAAGCAACAGCATCTCCCTCAATAAAGTGTTTGGAGGGTCTCTCTGTGTGCCCTGTCAATGTGGGGGACATGAAATGGTGCAAGAGGGCCTTGGGAACACAGCCTTCCAGCAGGAGGAATCTTGGGAAATGCAACCAGACTGCAGCTATGTGAGCTCACAGGGGTCCTGGCCTAGGACAGGTCCTGCCCAGGTTATACCTGCTTCTCATTCTGGGGTTGCTCTTGCATCCTCTCCCTGGCTCCACTGTGCGTTTAAGGGATGGATATATAAGTGATGTGGAGCTGTGCCTGGAGTGAGATGCCAAGCAGGAGGCCCTCACAGCTTTCACAGACCAAACCCAGTGGTCTATGGGGTGTGAGGGTGGGACCCAGGCTTGGATCTTGGGGTGCAGGCGTTCCATGTTGTTGTTTTACCTGAACGCAGCACTAACGTTCTCAAGGAAGTGCCGTTACTGGGATCCCTTCAAAGCCAGGCTCTTGGAACAAAGCAACCTGATGCTGTTCCTCCTCACGCAGGAAGTGCCTGAGAGAACACTGATCCCAGGAGCGTTTCTGTGGCATTGTACTAGTGCCTGTTAAAGGATTAACCAACCAAAGAGCAAATCTAGTATCAGCAGCATCCTGGAGATGGACGGTAAAGTGATAGCGCGGAACCCAGTGAATGATGCTCCAACGGGAAGGCTGTGGTTACCAAATAGATCTGCCTGTAGCCTGCTCCGATTGGACACGAAGAGCCTGATTTACTTGTCATATTGTGCACGAAGGGGCAGAATTTGGCCTTCAGGAGAAGCTCAGTTCCTCTTCTAGCCAGCTTGATGAGTTCCCCTTGTGCTACAGCAATGACTCAGTAACTCCTCTCCTGCTCCTCACTGAACTGGGCCAATGCAGGAGGCTGTGCCCAGGTGGACTGACTCCAGGGAGGCTTGGGGAATGCTCTTGGAAAAAAAACTCTTCCTAGCTCCCAAAGAGCTGCAGCCCATCTGCTCTGGGAAGGTCATGTCTATTTGCTTAAGTGCAGCTCTTGCACTGGGGCTGGGCTGGGAGGTGAGCAGAGATTCTAGCCAGGAGATTGCTATTTTGAGCTTGCTGCACTGCGTTGGCACTGCTTCCTGTCACTGACAACCGCCCCCATGGGCAGTTTCAGCCTGACCATCTTTGCGCTGCTGGACTGGGGCAAGGCAGGGGTCAGGGTACTCCTTGTTTTTTGCATCATGCTCCAGCTGCTTTGCTTCCTCTAGTGTATTTTCCATCTTTTTATCCTGGCTCCCCTTTCGTCAGCACTGGAAATAGTAACCAGACCCCATGCACATTTAGACCCAGAAGTGAAGGGGTGGGAGAGCAAAAAGCCACATCTCTTAGCAGCTGCAGGCAACTTGCCTGGCCTGTCTGCCCTGGAGTGGCTGCTGGCTCATTCCTTCCCCTTCTGTCTTTGCTGATCCACCACTTCCAGCTTTCAGTCCCTGTGTCACACTCTAGCTTTAGCAGCCTGAGGATGCTGAACGAAGTAGGGATTCTGCTTGCATGACTTGAATGATCCCAGAGACCCTTTCCATGGCATCTTCAGCAGGGAAATCCACAAATCAGTACAAGTAAGAACAGAGCAGCCTGGAGCAAACAGCTGTGAGGGGTGGGGTAGGTCTGGTGAGGAGGATGGTGGCGGGAGGGGATGACTAGACCAGGAGCCAGGGGTGCTGACCTCCCAGTACTTCATCCAGCTAAACCTGCAATGCCCCAGCTGAGGAGGCTGCCCAGCAGCTTTGTCCTATTCTGCTCGCCTTGCATCCTTGCATGGCTGTGCTGTGAAAATGGGCTTGAAACAGAACGAAGACTCTGGCCAAAAAGCAGGAACTGTTTCCTGACAAATTCTGGAATGGGCAATAATTTGGCCTGTGGCAAGTGCTTATCCCCCTCCCTCCCTGCAGGAAGGGTCTTGGTTGTATGCAGCAGCCGCCTGCTTGTGGAGATTTCCCCACTCTGACTCCAGTCAGTTGAGCCTTAGTCATCTTTCCGTCTGTATTTTATTGCTCTTAAAGCAATAGAAGAGATTCCCCCGCTTAGCAAAATGTGCAGGTCCCTGGAGCTGCCTCCTAGCTGTGTGCTCGGCGTGTGGTACGTGCTGAACTTTTGTGTCTTTGCTGCCTTCTCCTTTGCACTCTGCTTTCTTACCTTTCCTGTCAGGTTATGGCTTCTAATGCTTTCAGGGCTTGGAGCTCCATCTCAGATTGTGTGGGGCAGGTGAGCCTGTGGAGCACTCAGGGGACATTGGGAGGTGAGATCTGCTGGGTCTCCCTCAGCAGGATCCTCAAAGCAAGGGAAGAAGTGCTTTGTTGTAGGTGAAAAGTCCTGCTGGGGGAGGAGACACCATAATGGGGGGCTCTTGTTCTAACAGTCAAAAGAATGAATAAAACTTGGCTATTAAGTTGGAAAGCCCCGAAGGCAAGCTCATTCCCAGGGTGGATGCAGACAGGTGGGATCTGCTCCCAGGAGATGGATTCCCTTATGCCTGGGAGAAGATCAAGAGTGGCCCTCGGGTATGGAGAGAACCATGAGTGACAACTGCTCCCCTCCCAGTGCTTGCCGCAGGCCTGGAGCCACATCTTTCAAAGAGCTCTGGGTCAATACAGGCGCCTGGCTCTGCGCCACACACAGGCGAAAGCAGGCTGTCACTGCAATATGCTGACGGAGGCGGTAGCTTGGAGGGCTCCCACAATGCCCTTTTTGTGGTGCTGGCTGAGGGCCTCACATCCCCAGACCAGGCTCTCCCATTCTGCAGTGGCTGAGCAGAGCTGAGACTAGCCATGGGAGCGGCGGCCTGGCCCAGGTAGCTGGGATTCAAGCACCCCGGGTGGGGGGAGACCGCAGCTCTTCAGGGGCCAGGGATAATCCCCTGCGAGGCATCTTACCATGCAGGTAAGGGGTGCGGGCGGGGAGGTCCCTTCCAGGCCGCAATACAAACCGACCCCTGGTCTGCACCACGCGTGTCCTCCCCGGGGCTCCAGGGCCTCGCATCCCAGCAAGGTTTCCCGTGTCTGGCCAGCATCTGTCTCCCCGGCAGCTGAGCCCATGCTACCCCAAATCCCTGCCTCCCTCTGGGCTCCGGCTCCAAGGCGACGAGTCGGGCTGGGAGGGACAGGCGCAGCTCGCAGCCAGCAGCCTCGGGGGTGAGCCTGCATCGCCCGGGCCGGCTCAGCTCCCTGCCGGGGCAGGCAGGATCCGGCCCCACTGCGGGCACTGTTCGCCTGGGCAGCCGAGTCCTGGGCGGGGCGGCCGCAGGTAGGTGCCGGGCGCGGGCCAGATCTGGGGCAGCCGGCTGCAGCCCCTCTGCTCCCAGCGCCTGGGGAAATACGGCCCCCCCCTCCTCCGCCCTGGTCCTGCCTGGGGTCTCCCCCTCCAGCCTGCTCCATTGCTGGGTACCAGCTCCATCACTTTGCCTGCGGCTTTTTCCGAGCCACGAGCCTGCTGCCCGCTGGGCACAACTGGCCTGCCAGGGGTCCCTGGCCACCCACGCAGCACCCACCGGAGCTGGGCGCATCTCCTCGGCCCAGCGGAGACTGCGGTGGCGACGCGGGCGCGGGCACGGGCGTTCTGGAACCCGCGCTGCGCTCACAAAGTGCCCCGGTTCCGGAAGGAGCTGGCCCTGGCCCTGGCCCTGGCCCTGGCCCACCTGCCTGAGTGGCTCCGGGCACTTTCCCCTGTAGACAAGTCCGTGCTCAGAGAGGCCCGTCACTGCCGTGAGCTCGGGTGAGTCACTGAGAAGTCAGGACTGTCAGCTGCAGTGATGCACCGGGCCAGCGGCTGGATGGCGATGACACCCGGCCCAATGGCCCTTTTGATTTGTCTTCCTGAATCCGGCAGCCCTGCCCTGTTGAGCGTGTGGGTGTCCAGTCTCCGCTACTCCATGGGTTCCTCTTCGCAGCCTCCTGCGGCTCAGTCTCCCATTGCCATGCATTTCTGTGCCCCTCCAGCTGCTAAGTCCCTTTGGAGACTAGATTCTCCCTACTCAGTCCCACCCCAGTGTTGAGCTCCCACTGGTTATTCAGAGCTCACTTAAGCTCCACTTCCTCCTGGAGCCCTGCCACAAGCCGTGATTTCTGTTTCCACTTGGATTCATACCCACCTGTCCCATGACACGGTAACCTATAGGGCTGGTTTTTCACGTTGCATTCCCCCGCTGCATGCATGCTCTGCTTAGCTGCCCTTTTTCAGGTGGCTGCACTGATATGCCGACACCCTGTGCTCTTCTCTGTGCAGCCTGGCTGCCCCCAGGATGGGTGGAGCACCCCATGCATGGTAGGCTCCGGCTCGCTACTAGGAATCCCTCGCTAAGCTGTCCCAGCAGGAAGGATTTGCTATTGAGCTACAGCCTGACACGCACACAGGAGCCATGGTAAGTCATCAAGAAGACGGTATTGCCTGGTAGAGGGGCTCTCAACCCCCTTGTCTGTTAGAAGGGCTGTGGGAGGGGAGCTGGGTCTGCAACATGGTGTATAGGGGAGAGAGGAGGCATGGCCATGTGGTGGCAAAAGGAGGGGGCAGATGGGTTTGTGCGATAGCAAGTGGCAAGGTCTAGGTGACAATTCACATTCTCTGGGGAACTGTGGTCCTGTGGTCTGCACTCACGGCAGAAGGTGCAGATCCCTGCTCTCTTATACTAGGGACCCTTTGCTCCATCTGCGACCATGCTCAGAGCCATTCAGGGCCTTAGTGGTTTCTTCCTGTTAGGAGGAGAACTCAATGATGCAGTTGAGGCATTTTGTTTGAGGCAGCCTTGTTCACTTACCAGCATGAGACACACAGCCCTGTTCTGGACACAGCCAAAATAGCCAGCAGCAGGCAGTTCTCTCACAGAGAAATCCCTGGGTATATCCCTCCAGCTAGTCCAGTGCCCGAGAAGCTCGGTCTCTGCTTGCTCTCTTGTCCTTTCTCTCTCTGGCACACTCAGCTTGCAGTTAAATATCTTAGCCAATGCATTTGCAGCTGAGGAACCCTGTTAAGCTACCTGGGCCAGGTCCTGCTGACCAAAGGGCTTAGTGCTTTGCTGGGTAGCCTCTGAGGTCTGCAGCTGTCTAATGAGCTCCGGGATAGTCACTGAAGTAAACTCCTACCATTAGCCCCTGGAGTACAACCCCCTTTCCCATCAGATCTGCCCAGCCTGGAGTGGTGTGTGCACACAGCTCCTGTCTGCAAGGTAATTGGGTGCTTTGCTTTTTCACCAGCAATTCAAATGTTCCCAGGCCAAAGTCCCAGCCTTACTGGAGTCGGTGGGACTTTAGCTGTTGGTTCCAACGGGGCCAGGATTTCACCCAAGGCATGACACATGCCATGTTGCCCCTTTGCTGTCTTGCCCCTGGGCTAGCCTCGCTGTTGCATCCCCTGCTTAGCTGTCACCAATCTTGGGGGCACAAGGTTCATGCACATGATCTACCTCATCAGCTCCCTGCTCTCTTGCAGTGTCCTCTGTCAGCTCCCCGCACTTCCCTATTATCCTTTTGCCCTCTGACGTTTCTTACAAGCTTCTTCTTCCTCATTTCTGCCCACCTCTTCACTCAGCTCCTCTGCCTCATGGCCATGTGTGCCAGGACTGGGATGGTGCTTTCAAGCCCAGGAGCCATGTGTTCCCCTCCTCCACGTGGCAGGGCTCTCCCTTTTGACCCCCTGTGGTACCTTGTCCCTTCCAGGCCAATGCCTCAGGCAGCAGGATGAGCAGGCAGTCCTCCGTGATGAAGCGAAGGTCCTTCTGGAGGCTCCGCCAGCAGTGGAAGCTCCTGGGCCTTTTTGAGATCGACCAGGAGCATGAGTTTTATGACCTGACCTGCATGCTGAAGGCAGGGCTGAAGGCTGCTGTCCAGGATGCCATTGACAACCCACCTGTGGTGAGTGCGGCCTGGGGGCCAGACCATTTACCTGCAGGACCAGCCTCCCTCAGGGCCTGGAGAAGTAGGAGTTGCTGCAGATCAGCTCTTTGGGGCTAGGTGCAGGCAGCCAGTTGCAACCTCCCCAAGCAGGGCTCAAACAGGGAGAGGGTTGAAGCATCTCCTGCCATGGCCAGATGGGCTGCATCCCCCTCTGACAGCCCACGACTCATAAGGACATCACAAGGCTTAGGACATGAGGTCCATTTGCATTGCCCTGCTGACAGAGGACGCAGCTCCTTCCTCCCCATCTGGATCAGAGATGGGAGATGAGGCCAGGAACAGGAGTGACCCTCTCCATACCACACTTCCATGCACAGCATGGGGGCCAAGGGGAGGAGGCAGAGGCAGGCCTGGCTCCTAGAGTGGCCATTGCGCTTGTCACTCATTTCTTGAGGGCCGGCTTCTCCCCCGTCATGGCTTTGCACGGCATGTAGCAGGGACAGCTAAGGGGGCTGAGCGCAGAGATGGGTGCGTAGGAAGGCCCCAGCAGGACTGAGTCTCTCTTTGCCTCTCTCTGCCAGGATGTCCTGACTGAAGCAGACTGTGCCGCTGTACTGAAGCAGGTCCAT